GCAATTTTTATTATACATTATCTCGACTTTTTATTATGCAAGTCGACCTTCATTTATAATAGAAAAATGTTGACCACATCGAAGTATACCAAAATCTAATAAAAACTCATTTTTCATTTTTGGGGTAGTTTCCGCCCTTTCTACTGCAAAGCGCCTATATATGCAAAATGCATATAAAGTTTTTAATGTACAAAAAACAATAATTCTGTGCATGTAAATTTTTATAGTAAAATTATATTTTTAAACTTTCATTATATAAAATTTTCAATTTGTATAAGTGAAATTTTTTCTGAATTTTAAACACTGGATCTAAGGCATAAATTTTATAAAGTATTAATTTTAGAATTGTTCAGTGTAGATATTTCAAGTTGATCCAACAATGTATTCACAAATTATTTTTTTTTAGGTTGAAATAAGACTCCTGAATATAGAGATATCATATTAATCAAACTTCATTATACAGATTAAATTTTTGGTACTATTGAAGATAAGTATAACCTTGTATGGATTCAGGTTTTTATACTAATTAACATATATAATACCTTTTTATTATTATCACAGAGGTTTCAATGAATATATTTAGAGGCTCTGTTGAAACCAATATATTGAAAAAATAAATATAGTGCAGATTTGCAAAAATCTGCTACACTATAAAAAAATGACTAATTTTATGATATCTCGTAACTCAGTAATCAAAATTCAAAACTTTTAGTACCATTCGATTTGTTTCAATGAGACAGATTGAATGGTATTAAAATCATTGAGTTTCTATCACTGAGTTTTGAGTTATTTGCATTTAAGTAGTTTTTGTAAACAATTACATAACTCATCATCCAATAGTCTAAATTTGAAGATTTTACTGCCATTTGATTTCTCTCAATGAGATAGTTTGAATAGTATCAAAATCACTAAATCTGATCACTAGTTGGTGAGATATTCATAAAAAATATTTCGCAGTATAGTTCTTCATAAAACTTTAAAAAATAAATTTAAAGTTCTGTGAAGAACTGGCTGCAAAATGTTTTTTACAAATATCTCACCAACTAGTAATCAGATTTTAGTGATTTTAATACCATTTAAACTATTTTATTGAGAGGATTCAAATGGTGCCAAAATCATTAAATTTAGACTATTAGGTGGTGAGTTACGTAATTATTTACAAAAACTATTTAAATGCAAATATCTTATAACTCAGTAATAAAAGCTCTATGATTTTAATATCATTTAATCTGTTTTATTGAGACAAATTGAATGATGTCAAAAGTTTTGAGTTTCGATCACTGAGTTGCGAGATATCGTAAAATTAGTTATTTTTTTACAAAGTAGCAGATCTTTTTAGATCTGTACCATATTTATTTTTCTGATATACTTGTACATAAAAGATATGTGCGAATTCATGACTACCATTTCTACTAAACCTTTGAATAATGTAAGTTTCTTAGTTTCAAATGTGAGATTAAGTAAATATACTAAGTCAGAATTAGAAAATTTGGAATTAAAAGAATGTATCTGCGTGTGTTCTTTTTATAAAATTGTTGATAATATCAAGAAGTATACTACGATCATACATGAGCAGTAGCGACAACTTAAGCAAGACAACAAGGAATAGAAACAAAGATGATCAAATTAGAAACTGAAACTAGAATTGTTCATAAGGAAAATAAAAGGATTAAGGAGGATTATCAAGTTTATATTCAATATCTCGAAAATCATATCATTAAACTTGAAAAAAGTTTGAAACACAAAATCAAGAAATAAACGAAAAATTTGAGATTCAAAATGAAAAGTTGAACATGATTTTGAGTAGACTAAGCAAATAAGCATATAAAGAAACTGAAGAAATAAATGAGCAAAATCAAGTATCATTGTTTGATTGTGGATTTTAACTATTTTATTCAAACAAGTACAAGCTCAAAAAGGTTGGCTAGAGATACAATGTTAATTTTTGTGCTTTCACATCAATTTCTTATGACGATGTTAAATGTTATCAGATTTGTAGGTTAATGAGAGAGGGCATAAACAAAAACATTAGTGCTTATAATAGAGAAAAATTAAAAAAAAAATTTATACTTATCTTATATCACCAGCTTTCATTTATCACTCTACTAATGTTTTCTCATTTACCATGAAAATACTCTTCTAGCTTTAATATTCTCCTAATGACCTAAAATAGAAAATCAGACCCAAAGAATATGAATCAAAAACATGAATTCAAAAGGAGTCAAACACACAACTACAATCACTA